AATTTCTGAAAACTCATATTCATAGACAATAAACCATCCAAATATGCTAAAGAAACCATCACGTGAAACAAAATCAAAATCCAAGAAATTAATGGGAACATCAACCACAAAAATCTAAAGATATTACAAACAACACTAGATATCGTCTAAAAAAACAGAAACATTCAAACATTAGAGGAAGAAACCGTAGTTCACAGTAAATCCAAAAGTCCAAGAAATTCACGAAGACAAACAAAAGAAAGAAAATCAAAAGGAATTCGATACAAAAGCTAAAAGAATTTATACTTTTCTCGTTTTCTTGAATTCATTGCAACGAAACAGAAACCTGAGATTTGTCAATTGGTTGGCGAACATACATAAACACACACAAGCAGATGGAAACACATACTTTTTCGCACAAATTTTGCCTTCGAAGTTTCTGATCGGAGAGAGGGAATCGCGACGTTTTTGTGTCCAATTCCTGAATCCAAAATTGATGTTTTAGGAATAGCATATATATATATATATATATATATATATATATATATATATATATATAGGGATCGAAATTGTATAAAAACAGAGTAGAAATCCCAGCAAAACGATGAACAAGACTAGAGAGAGAGAGAGAGAGAGAGAGAGTAGGAGAGCGTTGATGAATGAGTTGGGTTTAAGAGAAAATTAGCAAATTGTGAGTAGGGTTTTTTCGCGCGAAAATATTTGATTTCAGCAAATATTGCAACGGCCGAAAGCTACTCATAAAAGCGGTTGAACCGCCTTACATTTATATTATTATTTTTACTATTTTTATTATTACTATTAGAGTAGTGAAAAAAAAAAAAAAAAAAAAAAAATCTCAGTCTTTCATTTTTCTCACTTATTATCGGCAACGAAATTAAATAAAATCTCAAAAACCAATTCTAAACAATGGACTATACTAATTAAATATAATATAAATAAAAATAAAAGTTCATGAAAATATTACATATATATATATATATAGAGAGGAATTGATGAAAAAATACATACTCTGAAAATTTTAAGAGTCGTGGCTTAGCATTGATCGTTTGGTTTAGAGAGCAAAATGTTGTAACTAAGAAACCCTTGAGAGAGAGAGAGAAGCGAACGGGGCGTTTTTATGTATGTATGCATCAAAGAGAGAAGGAAAGAGGAAGACGACGCTAACGTGGAAGAATATGATTCGTTTGATGGAGACTGACAACGCGGAAGACGAATAAGGGTCTGCTGATAGGGAGAGTTTAAGGACGAAAAGGGATTGATTTTTGATACGGAATGTTAAAAGACGAGTTTGGACTCTGGCATTCTCTATACTTTCCCAAAAATCAGAAAAAGTTTTTACGTCATTCATTAATACACGTGTAACGCGGGCAACGTGAGAACTTGCATTTACGCTTATTACGGTTTAAATGTACGAAGAATTTGAGAACTTGCATTAACTCATTAAACAACATATCAACAACTTCTCCTCCACAACAATCAATCAAAACCTCCACATACGATAATCCCATATTCCCATGCTTTCAACATTTTAAAACAAGAAATAAAAATGGCCTCCACATGGGCCGATGTAGCAATAAGGTAATAAAGTTCAAGATACACCATAAAATTGGTCACTTAAAGGCATGTGACCCCCCTGAGTATGAGTATAAAAAGCATTACAAATGTGCAATCATAAAAGATTTTTATCGAACATAAAGACCATATAACTTACAAACTTGATGTACTTGATAGCCATGCAATCGACGCTCCCGTTGTTACCTCTTCCCAGCCCCTAGCGGGAAGACTACATTTGAAGTACATGCAAATCAATTAAAGAAAATATAACACCAAAATATTGTACAAGTGGAGATGGTTAAATGAAAAAACTCAAAAATAAGGGACATATGAGCAGACAACTTTTTTATTAGGCGCTAGTAACCAAAAGCAAGACTCTAAACAAAATAAATAAATAAATGGGGTAACAGTACTCAACTAAGATTATAGCAAAATCCTTTTTATTACTGTTTCTTTAATTTTTTATTTTATCAAATATGATTGGACTATTTGGACCACAAAAAATCAGAAGGAAGCCCAAAAATCTATTTGAAACAATTTTTCCCAGAAATACATACTTCCCTGTGAAAAATCAATAAAAAAGAAATTCTCAAACAATTTGCATGAAACCAAGTCCATTGGAAGCTTAAACACACAATTTTTCTTCTATCAATTTAAATCAATAAATTTTCTTACCGATTAAATCAGGTTTGAAGGAAAAGATAGGAAAAATTCTGCTTACAAAACAAGGATCACAGCATGTTAAGATCAACTTCAAAAATCCATACTAATTTCAAAATCCAATCAATTTGAGCCAAAACAAAAACCTGTAAACTCATTAATAATAACTGATATCACATAATTTGAAGTGATTATTGTCAATTATGCTCGTGAGTTTGAAACGTATTCGTTCACGTGATCTTTTGGACATTTAATAGAGAAAGAAACAAGTCTTTTTCTTTGTCATTATATAAAAAAGAACAAGTGATAAATACCAAAAAGTGCCATACATACCTCATCGGTTCGCAACACAACAAATTGGTCTCTGCTGGTTATATGTGACAACACCTCACTTCAGGGACGGATATAAGTCCAAAATCCTTAATAAAGTAGTCCCCAAAGGCTCTAGACATTGCCAATCTGGGGCATTCCTCATTCGGCAGCCAAATTTTGTGCACCACAGGCTTGTCGTTTAAACTGAACATTCTCCCTTTGTACTGATTTATCCATTCAGCCTCATCTGTCAAACAATGTTGATAATGTAAACACAATGTTCATATAATTTTTGACACACAAAGAAAGTGAGGAAGAGAGAGACTCACGAGGCAAATTGTGGTTGAAATAACAGTAAGCTGAACATGCACCAAGCTGCCATCTCCGGTTGTGATAGCCAATACAGCACAAGAATCACTCACATTTGCTATAAATATATGTTCACCCAAAATATTTCAATTTAGGATAATAGGAAGATCAGCTCTGGTACAAATTTTGGGGAAAAATATATCTGCAACAATTCTCCATTAAAAAAAAAACAAAAAAAAAGAAGAAGATAAACACTAGAATTGAACTTCAAAAAGCTATTTTTATTAATTGACGCTCTCTGGCACGCATACGATAAATTAGACACCTGAGAATAGTTTATGCGAATAAGTATATTACGTGCTCTGGCATTGTGAGGAAACAAGTCATAATGACTTTAATATGATGTAATTTTCCTAGCCTTCCGTAAGCATGTAACATGTAAGCCCGTCCATTTTCACATAATCCCATAACCTCCTTGCTTTCACGACCCTCCAACTGCCAGAAAACTCACACACCTATGATTTTTAAATAACACTCCACATGAGACTCATATGAGGACCCAGGAAAATAATTTCAATACCAAAATAAACCACCAGATGAATAATACAGATTCAACTTAGAATAAGTTACATCATACTTAGAAATGTTTTCTAAATAAGTTAGAAATACTATCACAACATAGTTATACTAATGCAGTAGGGAAGCTCCAAGGAATTAATAGTAATTACAAAATAATTCCATATTTAAGGCCTTAACACCTTACAAAATAACTCCACTAGAATTAGCAATTATATAACTATTCTATCTAGGTATAGGAGCCTTGCACTTTCGACGATTATGACCATTCTCGCTGCATCGCGAACAGTGTAACGACCTTACATTTTGAAATTGTGATTCGATTCATTTAATACGAGGTCGTCCAGGGGGACGTGTTATCGCAGGAGGCCTAAGATAGGAAGCACCTTCATCGTCAGCAGCAGCAGTAGCAGCAGCAGCAACAGCAGCTGGATTCGGCATATCATGCATGGGGACAGAAGACATGAGATGTTCGCATAGTTTTTGTTGTGTTTCAACCCTAAACCATGGATCAACCATCTCATAAATATTTAAAGATAATTCATGGATGGCATAACATGCATGCGAACAAGGAATCCCACTCATGGTCCACATCAAACAACTACAAGAATTTTCACTGCCAAATACCACCCTGAATGGTTTTCTGTCTCGATCATATATTGTACACTCAGTAGGCGAAACACGCATCGACTGAAAACCAAGTGCTAACTCTTGCTCTTTTTTGATTTTCTCCTCAATACGATCCCCAACCGGGATAGTCCACTTCTGAACATCCAAACTCTTTCGGTATAAAAATTTGCTGAGTCTTTGCATGTGTGTATCCATTAGCCTTGTGATTGAAAAAACCCTCTCTTCTTTCACCCATGCATTAAAGGACTCTGCTTGATTGGTGTATAATTTATCCCAACGCTTGGAAGTAAACATAGCATTTGACCAATGTTCAGGTGAATTCGCCAAAACCTAATCGCACAACTCCCCTCGAAATACCCGCATGGCAGCCAATGCATTCTTATACTCATCTACAGTTCGAGCATATGCAATTTTATCGAGTAATTTTTTCGCATGCTCTTTACCCGAAACCCTCAATCCTAAACTTTGTCTCCTAAGAATGGATGTAGAAAAATTCACCATTAGGTGACGAAGACACCATGAGTGGTACTGGGAGCCAAAAATATCTCTAATACAGCTTATTAGGCTCGGATGCCTGTCGGTTAAGATTGTCACAATGCGACCATTTAGAATATCTTTCACCTTGCTCAAGAACCAATGCCAATCATCATCATTCTCAGAAGAAACAACAGCATACGCCAAAGGCCACAAGCCATCATTCGCATCGAACCCCGTTGCACCAACCATTGTTCCTTTATAATTGCCACTCAAGTGGCAAGCATCGATTGCTAACATGGGCCTACAATAGTTGCTGAAACCTCGTATGGAGCACCTTAAGCTACAAACACTCGCTTAAATCTCCTATCATCCGTGCACTCCCACGATGTAATTGTCCCAGGAATATATTCTGCTATTCGTTCACACAACCATGGGACTAAAATATAGCTATCCTTGGGATTTCCCTCAATGATATGACGTGCTTACTCCTTAGCTCTCCACGATTGCATGTAAGTCATTTTAGCAGAAAATTCACCGTTTATGTCTGTGGAAATAGTCTTGGGGGTGCATTTAGGATTGTCCCTAACCTTGTTCACAATAGCTCGACCCATTTCCTTCGACCAAAAAATGGCTTTATAATCTGAAATGTCTTGAGCAATGTGAGTGTGAACATTATTAAACCGCTTGATTCTCACTATATCACCACTTCCTTCACAACCAGCTGACAATTTCCATGGACAATTATTAACCTCGCACACAACTCTATAATATTTTCTACTATTGTCCAAGTACTTGAACCGAAAATGATTACGAAGACCAAACAAAACGAGTGCATCTTTGAAATCATTTGGGCTGTCAAAAAGCTGATCCACGCAAAGAATGTCATCAATGTGTCGGAAAGAATCCCGATGCACATTTATCGGAGGAAATGAAGACGTTGACGCAACACTTTGCAGAAGACCAATTGGCGACGTGGCTTCAACAAATTGTCTACAAGTGGATAAAAAGGTATATTAAAAATCACATAACCTATGCAGCGCATACATCAATGTATTACTTTAAATATATGTGTCTTACCTCTCACTATGATCAGTAGGAATTGTGCATGATGCAATTACAGGCGCTGCATCTTCCATATACACATTTAACATGGGACCACTCACTACAAGCATCACTTTAAATCCAGATTCTCCCGTCATCCTCAAACGTTCATTCTTGTTAGATTTGGTGGTATAATATATGACTTTACCACTCATGTTTGAAGATGAACGTTGTTGTAACTCATTTATAAATGATTCATATGTTGTTGTTGTTGTTGTTATCATAAAAGGGTCTGTGACACCGCCGATGTATATAATTTCCCCATTCTCATTTTTGTCAATTTTCCCATCAAATCGACAATAGCATATAATTTGTCTCTCATCCATTTGTCCAACTGCTTCGAAAATTTACTCATTAGTTTAAAAAAAAAAAAAAAAAACTAAATATGAAGTTCAAAAAATAAAGAAATATAAAACAATTAAATATCATAATTATATAATGTAATTTAGAGATCTATTTACAGCGAAACACTACCAATTCCCTCAATAGGGATAGGCGGTGTCAAGATTAAACTTTTCCTAAACACACACTACAGACCTTTTTCAAATCAAAATACAACCACAAAATCAATGCCATTGATTACTAGATAATTGTATCACTATGTGTACAACAAATATATATACAATATGAGGGAATAGAGAGTTAAATGGGACAATATAAATTGAAAATAAAAAATTGAGAGTTAAATAGAGAGAGAGTAGAGTGTTGAATATTTTTCACACACATAATTTATATGTGTAAGTCCTGAAAATGGGGGAGACAAGTACAAGGGAATGTTGGAATAATAAATTAATACTAAATACATTTTTTTGATAAATTAATGCTAAATACATATATTAAAAAAGCCTCATTTATAGAGTTTGCTAGCTTTTGCATCAATCCTATCATGTGCGTAGATGCCTAAAGACACATTACACAGAGGTATACTCTACATGCCATTTGAGAAAGAGGCAACAATCTTGAATAATTCTTGATCTAAATTGAGTTATAATAATTAATTATACATAAAAACTAATTGGACTACCTATGTGTTGGTGGCTTTGAATTTTAACTACTAAATTCCTAGGTTCTGCTGAGGATTTAGTCTGCAGTTATCAAAGAGCCTTGAATATATAGCTTGAATGAAAAAAGCTACCAAAACAAATAAAATCATTCTTCTTTGGCCCTCTGACTATGTGGGCATGGAAGATTCCCGTATATAGTCTGGTTATCTTAAAATTGAACAAATTGTTAAGTTTCAGAATTCTTTCTAATAGGAACCATTTTTTATTTTTTGTATTACTTACTTTTTCCACTTCTATTACCACCCTTCCCCATCTAAGCGACTCAGCTTGAGTGGTATCTCATGTCGCTTCCAAATAAGGATTCAATTTCCATGTAAAAAATAATAGTAAAAAATTGATAAATTCTGACTCTTTTTGTAGGAGGATACAGATATAGCTGATTTTACACTGTGCTTATTTTCTAACGGAGTGAATTGATACTACTCATAGCTATCGAGCAATATTATGGTGTGTATTGGTTGTAACTGACAATGTGAATTTAAAATTTCAAATGGATATAACCATGGTCAGTATTAATGGTTTTAACTAAATTTTTATATTTCCATTAAAATGGTATCTCTCTTTGATTTTGGATCATGTGTGTGGTTATTAAATTATGTGTTGATTTGTAAGGTTGCTTTCAGATTTGGACGAAAATAAAATGAAAGTCTTGATAGTTTGTTGATGTAATGAGCTTAAAAATTTAAAATTATATGCTTTGAATATATATCTATATCAGTCCATGGCAACTACTGCTTAATGATAAATAAGCCGTGAAACTACTTTGATCATATGGAGCTTATTAGTTGCATCATGATTACTACTAGTTTTGTGTATGTGTTCCATTATGTACTAGTGAATGTGTGGTATTTAGGCCTATGGCCAGTGTGTGTGTGTTAAAATCATGTATAAACATACATATATATGACAAAGTCGTGTTATGTTTAAATATTTCAGCCCAACTCTTGTAAAAATCAGAACAAATTCATGTTGGTTTGGATGACTCCTAAAGGTTTTTTTTTTGGAAGGTTAAACAAGTATTATTATACCATTTCTCTCATTCCTTCTCTTTCTCCTTCCAAATTGAGGTACGTTAGGGTTTTCTCTCCCCTAATGGCACACGTGTTCTATGGACCTGTATTAGAGTATAGTTCACACTATGATTCTTAAGATTGATGTGCTTATTGACGGTCTAGTTCTGTTTCAATCTCCTCCTAACAGCACTTAACATAATCATAAACTAGATTTAGCTCAGCGATTTTGTCTTGAAGTTTTTCCTCAATCTCATTGGGAAGCTATTCATGTAGTGGCTGAAATATGTTTGTTTTTTTATGATCCAAACACACTCAAACAAACACCAAACAGTGACCAATAGCTAGCCGCAGAAGTTACAATAGGTGTAGCTAGCCTATGACAAGTGTGTTTGTGTTAAAATCTAGGTCATACAATTCTTTTTAACAGGTGTAAATCTAGCTCCCATTCTCATGATTTGTTTGTAATTTAATTTTGTTGCTTTTGCGCTCTATCTACCACTTTATGTGACTTAGTATAAAACCAAATATAAATATTAACTTACTGAATTTTTCTGTTACTATCAAATACCATTAAAGCAAAATTACAAAATTAGACCCTCCCTCACAAGAAACAAAATTTTAAGAATTTATTAATCATTCTAATGGATTGCAATAGGCTGCCAACATAGTTAATTGAGAGTCGATAATTCAAAGAGCATTTCATTTTATTTTTGTCCAAAGCTGAAAGCAACCTTACAAATCAACACATAATTTCATAATCACACGCATGATCCAAAATCAAAGAGAGATACCATTTTAATGGAAATATAAAAAAATAAGATGTTTGGATACAATTGAAAATCAAAAAATAAAAGTACATGAAGCACCAGATTTAAAATTAGATTCCTCATAAGTACAAATAATTCTTTGAGACTACGCTTTCATGAGTACAAATAATTCTTTGGGAGCTCCGAGAATTAGTGGGGTAAAACCATGTATATCTCTATTGCGAGAAAAATATATAATGCAGCTAAAAGAGCATAGGCAGATTTAATAAAGCAATCCCCACAAAAATCTATAAACTCTACCATGTTTGAAGGCTTTTCTCTTAAAAAAGACTTTAGTAGTACTACACTTATCTGTTTCCCATTGAAAACTTTAAATCACCTATTAGCTGTTTTGATTTTGATTTTGATTTTGATTCCTTTCCTGGTGCAAAGAGATGTAGTATCCGCATTGACCTTCACATAAAGGTGGTGTCTTTGGTTTGATTGTAGTGCCAGAGTTTTGGACCAAAAAAATCAGATCCACCTCAAAGAGAGAGAGAGAGCTCTCTCATGTAGCCTTTTCAAAACAGAGCAAAATACAAAGAAATATTGTCAGTGTTCCCTCAACCTCTTCACTCCTCATTTATGAAACCTGTCTTTATTTATTTATTTGACATCAAAGCTCTATCAAGTGAAATTCTCAACTCAACTCACAATATTATATATATATATATATATATATATATATATATATATATAATATGTTTTTGGAGTAAGTGTTGTGATTCTGTACACAATAGGAGATTATTTATTATCTATTATTAGAAAATCGAACAGATAAAATGAGAAACTTTGGGAATACCCCCCTAAGGTAGTGTGTTTAATTGTGGCATTCATATTAAGTCATCAATTTAATATGCACGTTCCACAATATATTTATATATATGCACGGGTGTAGAATATATTAGATAAAAAAATAAGCATGATGCATCTTAATGTTGATATTTATACAAAAAGTAGTGTTACTCTTCAATTTAGTTCTAACTTCTATTTCTACTTTGATTCCAAATAATGCAAAGAGGTGTCATATTCTGATCTGGTATAGAGAATGCTACTCAAAACCTAATTCTCAGAAAGCTTAATTTCTTTATTAAGCTCTCCTCTTCGCACTTCTTCAGCTCTCACGGCTGTTGGGGAAGTTCTTGAAAAATCAGCAAACTCTCTCTCATCTCCCAGAGAAATGCTGCCCAGAATTGACGAGAGTGGCAGGTTTTGCAGCCCCAGAGCCGCCAGAGAGATCACCTTGTATGTCCCCCTCTTACCAATTTTTGTTTTTCTGTGTGTGTATATATATAGAGAGTTCGGGCTATTTGTTTTGGTTCTTTGATGGGTTGAAAATTGCTTGAATTTCAATGTCAGGATAATTATTTATGCGGCGTGTTTGGAGGGTTATGACCCAATTCGGCTATTCGAGAAGATAATCAACGCCCGAAGAGGTATTAGTATTACTAATGCTATGTCTTGTTTTATGACAATATGTTTATCTTTTTGGGTTTTTCTGCATCCCTTTTGATAAAACTGAATAAGTACGTAATTTATTTATTTATTACTATTTATATAACTGGTGTTTAGATAACTACCTACTGCTTTATATTTTCTCTTTTCCATCTCGTTAGAAACTAAATAACTTCCAAAACATCAGTCTTGGCCAGAATTTTGATCGAAATTTACTTCTTTCTTTCATTCTCTCTTTCTTTTCCCGTAAATACAATTTAGACGTAAAGGTCATATAACAGTTTTCCCATTATTGTTCGTGTCTTGTATTTTCAACTGAATTTGGGCTTAGGTATAAAGCAGCTTGCACTCTTCATCGGTTAGGGGGGGGGGGGGGGGGAACTTGTGAGCATATCTAGAAATTTGCTGTTTAAACCCATTCAAATTTCATGAACAGATGGTGAAGAAATCTTTTCCATTTCTGGTCATTGCATGGCAATATCTTAGACTAAATTTTTAAATCGTTCAAAAATGTTAACATATTCAATCAGTCTACTAAAAAGAATTATTTATCTAATTTATTCAAATGTTGGTAATTATCAGACACCAAGGCCATCACTGACATGCTCTAAAATGCTATGTTTCCCTAGTGAAAACATTTACCAAAGACTTCCAACCTTGTAAGCTAAGGCACAAATCATAGCATAACCATGAAGATTTGTTACTTCATCTCTGAGTCACAGTCCAAAGATCCAAACAGAGTAGCTTCTTCCCTTTTGTTTTATATTGAGAACTAAAATCTTTATTAGTGATTCTTAACACCCAAGATATTAATCATGAAATTATTATAAAGCATTTTCATTTAATTGAACCAAACTCAAATTTTATATGTAATTACATTTTAACCACTAAACCACAACAAATATAGTATGTATGAAAAACCTGTTTTTAATTTAATATTGTAGAACCAATACTAGTAATCTTAAACAATTCTTTTATCAAGCAAATG